CATTTCATTTCATTTTGACAGTTTAAAAATGCCACACAAAAGTGAAAAACTACAACTTCCGCAATTTGTGACGCCCCTGCTCTCAGCCAATCACAGCTCGCCGAGCCACGTGATGTTTTGTAGGAAACCCCAGTGTTGTGTTGGGTTGCGCACGTGGTGCTGTGGAGGTGAGCGGAGRGCATACACACAGTTCACCTCCGCTGTCGCAGATTTCCCCGTGAAACGGRCGGCTGTGAGGAGATGTCAGCGGCAGGTCAGACCTCTAGGAGCCGGGAGATCCCCGCGGTCCGCAGGATCGCCATCCACGATGCTGCCCACATGCCCCAGGACTACTCCACAACTCCGGGGGGGACCTTGTTCAGCACCACGCCTGGAGGTGAGTCGGGGCCGGGGGGGGCCGACATGTGTTTTCTGTCAGCTCACACCGACACCTCGGTAACATTTAGACAGGAAAGTCCTCTCAGTCASATCCTATTTATAGCTGCAGAGAAACAGCAACATGTTTACAACTAAGAGATGAATTGGGCGCCTTTATGATTATGCAACATTGCCCCCTTAATAGAGATGGATGCAAAAATAAAAATAATTAAGAGGCCATCACATTTCTTAAAAGTATGAATATCACCCGCCACCTTTTATATCAGAAATCTAACATAAATATGATTATGTTGAAATGAGAAAACATCTAGAAAATCACGTTGTCTGTTTTTTAAGAATTTATTTGCAGTTTATGGTGGAAAATAAGTTTTGGGTCAATAACAGATAAGATTTCTGTCTCACATATCTGTAATTTCTTCTTTAAGATGCTCCTCTGTCCTCCGATCATTACCTGTAGTAATGACACCCGTTTGAACTTGTTATCAGTATAAAAGACACCTGTTAACCTCAAACAGTCACGCTCTGTACCATGGTGAAGACCAAAGAGATGTGTAAGAARACTAGAAACAAAATTGTAGACGGGCACCAGGCTAAGACTGAATCTGCAAAAGGCAATCAGCTTGGTGTGAAGAAATTGTGGGAGCAATAATTAGAAATAAAAATGGAAGACCTACAAGATAATCTCCCTCGATCAGGGGCTCCAGGAAAGATCTCAGCCCGCGGGGTCAAAATAATCACAAGAACGGTGAGGAAAAATCCCAGAACCAGACGGGGGAACTTAGTGAACGACCTGCAGAAGGCTGGGACTCAGGTAGGCTACCGTCAGTAACACACTACGACGCCAGGGACTCAGATCCTTCAGGGCCAGACGTGTCCCCCTGCTAAAGCCAGGACATATCTAGGCCCATCTGAAGTTTGCTAGAGAGCATTTAGATGTTCCAGAAGAGTATTGAGAGAATGTCATATGGTCAGATGAAACCAAAGCAGAACTGTTTGATAGAAACACAACTCGTCGTGTTTGGAGGAGAGTGAATGCTGAGCTGCATCTAAAGAACGCCTACTGTGAAGCATGGGAGTGGAAACATCATGCTTTGGGGCTGTTTCTCTGCAAAAGGACCAGGACGACTGGTCCGTGTACATGAAAGAATGAATGGGGCCATGAATCGTGAGATTTTGAGTGCAAACCTCCATCCATCAGCAATGGCATTGAAAATGAAACGTGTCTGGGTCTTTCAGCATGACAATGATCCCAAGCGCACCGCCAGGGCAACAGAGGAGTGGCTTGGTAAGGAAGGTCCCGGAGTGGCCTAGCCAGTCTCCAGATCTCAACCCCTTAGACAACCTTAGGAGAGAGTTTAAAGTCTGCATTGCCCAGCGACAGCCTCAAAACATCACTGTTCTAGAGGAGATCTGATTTGTAAAAATGTTTCATTTTGTTTTCTTTTTCTTGTAGTGTAAATTTACCAAAATAAATCCAAATCCAAGATCCGCGTGGAGAAATGGGCCAACGTAGCAGTGTGAGCCAAGCTTTTGAAGACTTACAGAAAACATTTGACCWGTCATTGCCAACAAAGGATATATAACGAAGTATTGACATTAACTTTTGTAATTGAKCAAATACTTATTTTCCACCATAATTTTCAAATAAATTCTTTAAAAAACAGACAATGTGGCTTACTAGATAAGTTTTCTCGTTTTGTCTCTCATAGTTGAGGTCTTGCTATGATGTAAATTACAGGCCTCGTCTTTTTAAGTGTGAGAACTTGAGGTTAGTGGCTGTGTGGCACTCAGAATTATAATCTGAGTGTCATGGTATGGCCTGACAGATTTGCTTTCACAAGTGGAGCATTTTGGCGAAAGCCAAAATGCTCCACTTGATAAATGAAACTTTATTAGAAATAATGTTGGGCCTATTTCAATTATAACTGACAGATAGACAAGTAAAAAAAGAAAAAAGAAAGGAAAGAGTTAGAATGCAATGGAAAAAAAGTGAAAGAATCGAAAACATGCGAGATATACAACAACACAACACATTTTATCCAAATATCTAAGTTGTCTGAGTTATAGACTTGTTTGTAATCACTTGGTTATGACAGGCATTTTATATTAGATTGATACCAAAAGCTTTCCAATTATAGTTGCACAATAATGTGGATTAGGGATGAGTTCTCCCCAGAAACCGGGTTCCTGTAAACAGACTGGGATTTCTGAGGCATTATTGAACTTTTTTTTTTACTCAAACGTGGAGCAGCTGGAGCCTTGGGAAGCTTCCAACCCGGCGTTTAAAAAAAAACAGGAGAGCCTGAGAAACCTGAGAGCAATCCACATGTTGAGTTCAACTGATAACATGTTCTGTAACATCAGCAGCTGGGACAGTTTGAACAGAACTGGGTTACTGGATAACAACAACAAACTGGGTTAGTGGTCATGGTCAGGTGTGGAGGACAGGAAAGAAACAAGCCACACCTGGGAGGAAATGTACTTGTGTGGATCTTTTTTTCTTATGTCTATGGTTTTGACTGAAGTTGTTGTTTATTACATGTTGCTATGATTTTTAGTTACCTAGCCCCTGTTTTTACTGTAAATAAA